TTTACATTTTAGTTCAGTAAATGTGCTTCTCCCATTAAATAAGCTACGAAACAATTTAAATAGCAAATACCTTGATGAAAGTGACGTGAGTGTGTCTTGATGGTACCATAGGAAATCTCTTCGCGATTTATGTTCTCTAGCCATAATTCCCGTATTTTTATTTTATTTTTTTCCCGATAATTCCCTTGTATGAGCCCCTGATGAGTAATTTCCAGAGGAACAGTGAAGAAACTAATTGTTTTATCCCTTTCAGAGCGTCTAGAACAACCAAATACACAACAAAACCTGCCCATGTTTCTCCGATGCTGCTGAAGTCAATGACATAGTGTTGCCCGGTGACATGGCGGCGTAGGTACCGTTGCTATCGGGGTCACGTGACGGTGCAAAGCCTCTATTGGGTATGTTTTATTTGTATTGTGCAGCACTTTGGAAACTCTTTGGTTTTGCTGCCTCATCAAGAATTGTGAAGAAGGGTTTGTGTTTGTGTATTTGTTTTGTGATGAACTCCCGTAAGACTCAGCACCCTGCCCGTTTATCTCCAATGTTTGGTTCCGTTTTTCCTGAGTCTGTGTGATGAGTCGGACTTGCAGCTGCTTTCACTCCCTTCGACCCAGCGAACACACACACACACACAACCACACACAACCACACACAAACACACACAAACACACACACATTATGGTCAGTGAGTGGTCAGCCACGGTATTCTGTTCTTTCCTCCTCCAGCTTTCTAGTTTTTAATCGTAAAGTAAAGGACATTCAGCATTTCACGAAAACATGATTCATATTTAAGACTTTACCAACTATTTTTAATTTTATTTTTAATAACACCAAACCAAGCTGTAATTAGAAATGATGTTGTTGTTTTTTGCAGTTGTGCGTTTATCTTGTGCACAGCCTGTGGGTCTGTAGTTCTGCGTGAGTGTGCTGAGCAGATCGATGCGTTTGGACGTTGTAGAAGGCCAAGGAACATGTCCTGACTCAGCACAAACCTCATGTTGATGTTTGACTCGGGTAATGGGTTTAACAGGAGCAGGACGGAGGGAGGAAGAGGAGGAGGAGGAGGAGGAGAAGGAGGAGGAGGAGCTTTTTACAGGTTCTACAGTCACAACAGAACCAGAGCCTTAACCTGCACATCGACGACACGTCCAAGTTTGTCTCATTGTCAGTTTATGGACAGACCAGAGCAGCAGCTGCACTAGCACTGACTCATGATTGGCAGGTGCTGGGGTTTAGGGAGTGTTGTAGTCAAGAGAGAGGGAGAGGGAAAGAGGCGGGGGGTGCAACATTCTTGTAAACTGGAGCGTACACAAAACTGCAGAACATTTGGTTTAAAACGAAAATGTCTCTCTCTGATCTGAATTTTCACTACCTAAACTGAGTGTTGTAGTATTTAAGACCAGTCTTGTTCTGGAGACCGGCCTCGAGGTCTTTGTCCCGTCTCTACCACGTTTGGATTCATCAAGACCAAGACTTGACCAAGACCTCTGAGGGTCGAGACCGAGACAAGACCAAGACTTTTAAAGGCAGAGACCGAGACGAGACCGAGACCATGGCCCATCGAGACCAAATTGAGACATTTCTACATTTTTTTTTTTTTTTTTGGACCCTCACCCACAGTTTGAGAACCCCTTCTTTAAGAGAACTTCCACTGGCACTTTACAGAAATCTGCTTTATAGTACTGTGCTCGACAACTGTCAGAACTTGAGTCAAGCGCCTTCAAGAACAAGACAAGACTGAATCCAAGCTCATTCAAGACCGAGAGAAGACCGAGTCAAAGCTCCGTCAAGATCAAGTCCAAGCTCCATCAAGACCGAGACAAGACCGAGTCGAAGCTCCATCAAAACCGAGACAAGACCGAGTCGAAGCTCCATCAAGACCGAGACAAGACCGAGTCGAAGCTCCATCAGAGAGACCGAGTCCAAGACAAGACCGAGACCAAGACCGAGTCAAGACCGAGACAAGACCGAGACAAGCCGAGACAAGACGAGACCGAGACAAGACCGAGACAAGACGAGTCCAAGCTCCCAAGACCGAGACAAGACCGAGACAACCGACAAGACAAGACAAGACGAGACAAGACCGAGTCCAAGCTCCATCAAGACGAGACAAGACGAGTCAAGCTCCACAAGACCGACAGACCGAGTCCAAGCTCCATCAAGACCGAGACAAGACCGAGTCGACAAGACCGATCAAGACCGAAGACCGAGACAAGACCGAGAACAAGACCGAGACAAGAGAGCAAGACCGAGACAAGACCGAGACAAGACCGAGTCAAGACGAGACAAGACCGAGTCCAGACCGAGACAAGACCGAGACAAGACCGAGACAAGACCGAGTCAAGACAAGAGACCGAGACAAGACCGAGAGACAAGACCGAGACAAGACCGAGACAAGACCGAGTGCAAGCTCCATCAAGACCGAGACAAGACCGAGTCGAAGCTCCTTCAAGACCGAGACAAAACCGAGTCAAGACCGAGTCAAGACCGAGTCAAGACCGAGTCAAGACAAGAGACAAGACCGAGACAAGACCGAGACAAGACAAGACCGAGACAAGACCGAGACAAGACCGAGACAAGTCAAAGACCGAGACAAGACCGAGACAAGACCGAGACAAGACCGAGACAATCCTCAAGACCGAGACCGAGACAAGACCGAGACAAGACCGAGACAAGACCGAGACAAGACCGAGACAAGACCGAGACAAGACCGAGACAAGACCGAGACAAGACCAGGACAAGACCGAGACAAGACCGAGACAAGACCGAGACAAGACCGAGACAAGACCGAGACAAGACCGAGACAAGACCGAGACAAGACCGAGACAAGACCGAGTCCAAACGTGATCAAGTTCGAGACAAGACCAAGACCGTAAAAAAAGGTCTCGAGGCCAAAATCGGTCTTGAATACTACAACATTCGGTTTAGATAGTCAAAATTCAGATCAGAGAGGCATTTTTGGTTTAAACCAAATGTTCTGCAGTTTTGTGTACGCTCCAGTTTACAAGAATGTTGCACCCCCCTGCCCCTCTCCCTCTCTCTTTCTCTTTCTCCCTCTCTGCTTTCTTTCTGTCGCTCTCTTCCTTTTTCTCTCTTTCTTTCACACTGTTGCTCTTCATCTGTCTTTCCTGCTCCTGCCCTCTCTTCCTCCCTCTCTTCTTTCTCGCTTCCACAGTCTCCTCTTTTTCTTCCTCCTTTGTCTAATTCCCTCTTTCCTCTCCTCTCACTTCCAAATTCGCTCCAGACTCGGCCCTTAAACCCGGCGTGCCCGCGTTCACCCAGACATATGGAATGCTCCTGTAGTGGAATTTTTCTTTCTTTTTTTTTTAACGCTGCCATCCTGCCATCCTGCCCTCCCTCCCTCCCTCTTTCCTGCCCTCCCTCCCTCCCTCCATCATTCTACCCCAGTGATAATGATGACGGTAACTGCTCTGCTTCGATTGTATGGGAGCTCAATGGGGCCTGTGTGTCGTGGCCAAAACGCCGCTCGTGTTTTGTCATGCGTGCGGACGGGGCAAGAGCTCGAGTTTGTAGGTTTTGCGGTCAGATGAGGAGGAGGACGTGTGGTGAATGATGAGGAGGGTTGTCAAAACTATCAAAAATCAGATATTAATCGATGCTAAACCTGGATTTTTCCACAGGTATCGACAGTGTTGGGGAGTAACAGATTACATGTGCCGGAGTTACGTAATCAGAGTACAAATTATGAGTAACTGTATTCGGTTACAGTTACTGTTTCAGTGAGTGGTAATTGGATTACAGTTACTTTGTTGAAGTGAATGGATTACACGGAGGTATTTTCCTGTTTTCACATTTGGGCTAAATCCCCCTTTTTTTTTCTTCTTTTTTTTTTTTCTCGGTAATTCCACTCATTGCCGGATATTAAACCCAGGTCTAAACCAGGTCTAAACCAGGACTAAACCAGGACTAAACCAGGACTAAAACCAGGACTAAACCAGGACTAAACCAGGACTAAAACCAGGACTGAACCAGGACTAAAACCAGGACTAAAACCAGGTCTAAAACCAGGACTAAAACAGGATTTAACAGGTCTAAACCAGGTCTAAACCAGGACTAAACCAGGTTATAAACCAGTCTAAAACCAGGACTAAACCAGGACTAAAACCAGGACTAAAACCAGGACTAAACCAGGAACAGGTCTAAACCAGGACTAAACCAGGTCTAAACCAGGACTAAACCAGGACTAAACCAGGACTAAACCAGGACTAAACCAGGACTGAACCAGGACTAAAACCAGGACTAAAACCAGGTCTAAACCAGGACTAAACCAGTTATAAACCATGTCTAAAACAGGTTTTAACAGGACTAAACCAGGACTAAACCAGGATTTAACAGGTCTAAACCAGGACTAAACCAGATCTAAACCAGGTCAAACTCAAGATTTAACAGGACTGAACCATGCTGCACGGACCATGTCTCCTCTTCTTCTGTCAATAATATTTTAAATCCGGTTGAGTAAAGACTCTGCCCTTTAATTTTCTTTTATCAGAAAAACATCTTATGTTAACATATCCTCGTCTTTGCTTCTCTACAGCAAACCAAGTAATCCAAAGTATTCAGATTACATTACTCACTTTAAGTAATTTAATGCATTCTGTTACAAAATACATTTTGGGGTGTGTAATCTGTAATATGTAGGGGAATACATTTTAAAAGTAAACTTAACAACACTGGGTATCGATATTGAAAAATCCAGTTTGCAGGACAGAAATGAACAGGTTGACAAAACTTTTAAAAAGATGGAATACAATGACATCTAGATGAAGAAAACCGGGCTATTTTCGTACTTTGCCCAGATTTTCTCGCCAAAAAAAGAGCCCAAAGGAAGCAGTGATCCGCGTGTTTCTTCTGGTTTTGTGACGTAAGCGTGGCTGGACTGTGTTTGTTGGTTTTGTGGTCAGTGGAAGAGGCGGACAGTGTTGTGAATGATGAGTAATGATTGACAGTTGTGCTGACCCTTGTCCCTCTGGTGTTTGCAGGATGAAGGCGGGGCCAGCGGCGGCGTGACCAATGGACTGAGACGAGTTCAAATGTGAGTCATGTCTACTTGTTTTGGTTTCCTGTGAATTTTGGACAAAGGATAAGTCCAGATGAGCATCAAGCCAGTGTTTTAAAAGGCCACTAAACACCGAAATCACTTTTTTTACTGATTATCTGTGTAAATGGGTCTAAAATTTAAATATATTTTGGCATTTTAGTGCATATTTGTTAAAAATCTGAAATGTTTTGGGTCAAAGTCATGTCTGTAACAGCCTCTTTAAAGATAAACTACGGCCGGTACATTTGAATTTTCGGGTTGGACTAAAGCGGCCCCAGTGAGTCAGACTAGTACGGTTTATTACGTGACGAGCGCAGACACTGGCGTCTACGGGCGGGACGTGAGGAGCCCCTCTCAGCCCCGACCCGACCTGGCACCGCCGGGTACCGCGATGTCCCGCCGTGTCTGGAGAAAAGGGAAATGGTGTGATCCAAGGACTGAGACCGGGACTGAGACCGGGACTGAGACCGGGACTGAGACCGGGACTGAACGGGACTGAGGGGACTGAGACCGGGACTGAGACCGGGAACTGAGGACGGGGACTGAGGACCGGGTCTGAGGCAGACACCGGGTCTGAGGCAGACACCGGGTCTGAGGCAGACACCGGGTCTGAGGCACAGACACGGGGACCACGGGGACCGGGACTGAGACCAGGACTGAGACCAGTTTAGTCCTGGTTCAGTCCGGCTTCACAGTTTAAGTCACATAAACGGGAAACCGCTGTTATCAGTTTTTTTTTCCATTCTTCATTTAAACACAAAATCAAAAACTGAAAAATTGGATCATTATCTGTTTTTTCATTTTGGTTTTGGAGACAAATAATGAAAAAAAATATATATATATATATTTTTTTTTTTTTCCATTTTCTTATTTTTGGTTTTATTTTGAAAAATAAAAGAAAGAATGATACACGGATTAGATCCCTAATAGGCCAGGAGCCAGGTCCACTCCTCAGGATGTTTTTTGCTTCCTTTTTTTCACTATTATTTCCTGTTATCTTATATCTTGGGCCAGCACGAGTTGATAGGGACCAACCCCAACTTGGCCCCGTTTGGTCTCAGGGCCCAAAAAACACCCTTTTCAAGAAAAGCTATTTGCGAAATTATACTGTACTGTAACTGCATACATGGTCAAATAACCCTAAAATTTGACATGGTGTATCCTGACACATGGGGGAAACTGGCAGAAAAATATTCTGGGGCTTGCTACATTTCTACTGACAAATATCACCCTCAACATCCCCCAAAAGACAAAAAAATGTCTGTCTGCCTGACAAATTGTCATCAAAGTGATCATTTTCAAGCATTTTATTGCTTATATCACTGCCTCAGTTGTACATGAAAAACTCCCCAAGTTTTTACGCTTCAATTTAATGAAATTTTTAAAACGGCACATATGTATGCTGTCTTCATTTTTCCGCATATCACATTTACTTCAGTGGCTTTGATCACAGTCGGTCGGTGAGTCCAGTGTCGGGAACTACACCGGAAGTCGTCATCGCATGTTTCCAAACGTTTTCCTGGTTTGTGACGTAAACGTGAATAGAGCTTTTTATGGCTTCTCTGTTACTGTCCTCATCCTCCCTGCCTCCTTCACCCCTCTCTTCTCTTCTCTCCTCTGTTCCCCTCCTCTTCCTCACTCCCTCCCTCTCCTCCTCCCTCCTCTCCTCCCTCCCCTCCTCCCTCCTCTCCTCTGCTCGGCTTCCTGTAGCTGGACCCTGGGCGCCTCTCTTCCTTCCTCTGTCCTCTTTAGTGGCACAGACTTGTAGAGCTGCACTGTTGGACTGTGTGAGTGTGTGTGTGTGTGCGTGTGTGTGTGTATTTGTGTGCGTTTGTGTGCGTTTGTGTGTGTGTGTGTGTACGTGGGTGTGGTAGGGACACAGTAAATATATGCCCAGGGCGTCCTATCACAGTTTACAGAACTTAATCAAACAGTTGGTGTGAGAGTTATTATATTTTACATCCTGGTCATATCCACGGCTTTAGTGGTGAGAGGCAAACATTTTTCAACCAGGAAAAATCGTCAAAAGTCTCACAATAATATCGCGGGCTGTCACAATATATCGAATCACAAGTTCCTTTGCTTAAATGCATAGTTTTATAGTAGTAACAGCTTATAAACATCGGGAACTACATATCCCATGATTCATTTCAGCGCAGACAACATGAAGAAATATGTTTTTACTTGAATTTTTGAGATTGTGATGGAAATAATTCACACCAAAATCTTGTCAGGGTATTTTAAAAGCAAAAAAGTGTCCTATCTAGAAGTCCAGCAGTCTAAGCAGTGACTCCCAGACTTCCTTCACCCCAGACATGTCCTCTAGCTCCTCTGGGGGGACCCCGAGGCGCTTCCAGGCCAGTCGAGAGACATAGTCCCTCCAGTGTTTCCCTGGGGCCTCCTCCTGGTGGGACATGCCTGGAACAGATGCCCGAGCCACCTCAACTGGCTCCTCTCGATGTGGAGGAGCAGCGGCTCTACTCCGAGCTCCTCCTCACTCTATCTCTAAGGGAGCGCCCAGACACCCTAAGGCGGAAACTCTTGTATCCGCGATACTACTTAATCCCTACTGTTTTTTCACTTTTAGAAAACTCCTAAAAGACAATTTTGCATAGTTCTCCTTCTTTAAAAGCAGAAGGTCCTTTGTAAAGTTGTAAAGTTGTTAGAATCACAATTGAACGTGCGCTGCCAGAGTCTTAACCTGCAAATATGACTTATACAGGTTTTTTCTAATTCTAAGTCTGGACTTCAAAAGGAACCTAGAAAATATGTCACATTTCTAGTGGAGTTTCTGACACTTTGTTTCTCTGATGTGGAACTTTTGGTTTTATTGCTGTAGGAAAATTTGCTGAAAACATCGTATTATAAACAGGGACACCTGGGAGGAGAGAAGGACTGAGAGGAGAGGGAAGAAGGAGAGAAGGAAGTGAGAAGGTTGGACAAGAGATGGAGGAGAGAAGGGAAAGGGACAGACACGAGAGGATGCAGAAAAAGAGCAAGAGAATGTGGGGATGAGAGAAAGAGGTAAAGAAAGACGACAGAGGAAAGGGAGAAACAAACTGGATGATAGAAAGAAAAAGAGAAGCAGAAGAGAAGGAGGAGAGTGTGTGGATGAGAGAAAGAGGTGAAGAAAGACGACAGAGATGAAGAGAGGATGGATGATAGAAAATGAGAGAACAAGCAGAAGAGAGAGAAAGAAAGAGGACGGGAAAAGGGAAGGAGAGAAAGCGGATACCAGAGAAGATGGAAATTCCCCTGAAAACATATCATAATCATATTGTCAGCGGCGTCACCTGTCCACAGATCTGACCCGTAACTTGGCCTCGTTACATCACCGGATTGTCACATAACGCAGGAACCGAACACAATAGTTGTCCCTGATGTAGAACGTGGTGCAGACAGGCCCATACACACACACACACACACACACACTCCTCTGCTGCGTCACCACTGCAGTAATCCACTCTGTGAAGATGTAGTGTGCAGCAGACCTCTCACTCCTCTCACTTCTCCGCTCGCTCCATCCATCTCTCCGCTCTGTCGCTCACAGGGAGGATGAGGTGAGGACGAGACTAAACTGGAGAATACGGAGGATTTTAAATAAGTACTTCATAATACGCGGATTAAACAGACAAGTAAACAGATGAAGAGGATTTTGTTGTGCCGTAACAGACGCACACTGACTCAGGAGGATCACGTAAAGGTCCAGATTAAGGACGGGCATTCGATGAAATTTTCTTAATCGATCCTTGAAAGAATTAACGATCGATTATCGATTAATCATTAACGTGTTTATATTAAAATGATCATCATTATTATTACTATCTGCACTAATCTGCATAAATAAATTCAACTTTACGACATATAAACCGTAACCACTCTAGAGCCACATCAGCCCGTTTGACATTATAATGTGTTTAATGCAGATTTGTGCAACTCTCACAGAAACAAAACTTAAAACTGCATCGCTAATTTGCATAAACTAAGCGAAGATAAAACTACAGCTCTTGTGTCGCTGATGTGGTCAATTTCTGTCGGATTAAAAGACATGACTCAGTGGAATACAGGTTAGTGTGACCATATTTGCATTTGTCAAAACCAGGACACCGTACGGGGGGAGGGAGGTGGGGCCCCATCATCGACATTGAGCATGTAATCGTGTCGAACTGTTTTGGTACAGGGAATTCGGTGAATTCGCGCAATTTGTGTTTGTTTACATTCCTCCACTACATGTGCAGCTACACGGAGGCTCGGCTCTTTAATATTCACGAGGGAACTTGTCCGTGATTGGGGGAAGTGTTTCCCACAGCGCTTTATAGTTAGGGCAGCCGCCTTGACAACAATTTCCCCTCACCTTGACTACATCCCTCCAAACCACATGAATCCTCGAAAAAACTACAGTCGTCGCTCCCTGGTCCTGGTCCTAAATTATTGGTATTACCAAGCAGCACTTTATATTAATGGGAAAATAAAATAAATGTAATGTTAAAACAAATTGTTGGTTTAACAAACACACAAATAAACAGCAAGTAAATGGTTTTGCATTTTGTTCCCAAATTTAACAGAAAATGAACCGAACCGAACAGACCTAAGGTTGTGTTTTGTTTCATTCACACACCCTGCAGTTTTAGTTTTTCTCTGACAGAAACCACTCTGGTGATGTGGTAATACAGGAAGTGCTGTGTTTTTAAACTCCACACACCTGCACTCGAATCACTTGGATGATTTACCGTATTTTCCGGGCTATTAGACGTGCTCTTAATCCTACAACCCCATCAAAAAACGACTGCGTGCCCCATAATCCAGAGCGCCCTATACACGAATCCACTCAGGTGTCCCAGCACGACTTCAGTAAACTACAAAGCCGCAACCTCCCGCAGAACACGCAAACACACATGGAGCAGACAGCGACCGCACGGCGAAAAACACCCACAGACACACTCATCACTCCACGCCGACGAGGAACGGAACGGGAGGAACGAACCAAAAAAGCG